CAATTCAATCTTCATAGGAGTATCTTCAAATCTTCAAAGATTCGTTCTTCATATATTCAAATCTTCAAAGTCTTGTTCTTCAGATCTTCGAATCTTCAAGCTTCGTTCTTCAGATCTTCGAACGTTCTTCAACTTTTGTATTTAGTTTATTAAGAATCGATGAAATCACGAAGGATTATTCGTATATTCTTAATAAAATTCGTAGCTTGATCTATTCCTCTTCTTCGGATTCGTTCAGAGTCTTTCGGGGGTTCTTGAGAGCTTTTCTGCAGCGTTTCTTCGTCTGAAAATTCTCTTCCCCCTCCTCTCAACCGAGACCTATATTTATAGATGTGGAGGGGATAAAATATGGCCTAGGGTTGCAGAAATTCGTTCATACCTCATGGGCCTCAATTAAAATGGGCTTCGGGCTCTATTTGCTCGCATTTTAATAGCTAGAAAAATCAGAACTTATGCAATGTATCTGGACAGCTTCTTTAACAAGGTTCATAGCTATTTCTCATGCATATAGATACATTTCTTAGCTAGATTCGTTGTCTTCTTCGTAAGGTGGATCACACCTCCTATTTATTGGGCAACTATTTAATAATGCGCTCAAAATTAATAGGACCGGTCCATTCTCTTAAAGATTTCATTTATAATTATATTAATTGGATATTTTAAATGACCCAAATTAATTCAATTATTAAATGTTATTCGAATGGGTCCATATTAATAATTTTATAAGGCCCAACAACCATCAGTCCATCACGAGCAGCCCAACATAATTCAACGTTGGCTCAATAATTTTTATATGTCCACAAATGCCCCCTCGAGATTTACTTGAACGTTCTTTAACGAGCAAAGTAATTCTCGAATATGAATTGAGTCGGGCCGTCTTTAAAATTCATTCTTCTTTTGACCTGAACCATCCGTTATGTGGAAATTTATTCTTTGCCAATTCTTCTTTTAAAATGGCTCGTCACAGTATCGATGTAGCAATTATGCTCAAGCCCAACCACGGATCCTATTAACTTGCAGGTGTTCAAGTGTTCAACTAGGATTCAAGTTCATATATGCCAAAATTAGGAGATAATAGAATCCTAAAAGAATTCCAATGCTAGAAACGGGCTTCTGTATAAATAGGGTGTTGCTCACCCCCAAAATTGCTTAATCTAACCCTTGGTGAATAAATTTGGCCTTCTTAATTATGAGTTAAAATTATTTGCGCACCTCCACCTCCATGGCCGGCTCCTCCATATCATTTTTATATTAAGTATGCATCCAATAGAATAATGTCATGTGGCAAGTAATCCTTTTGTTTTTATAAAATGTCATAACTTTTTCATTTTTTCCCCAATTTTTATAAAAATTATACCAAATTAAATATCTTTTTATGATCTTTCATTTGACACCAATATTATATACTTCTTCCGTTCTTAAATAAATGCAACGGTCAACATTTCACACTTGCCGAGACACAACTTTGACCATTAATATAAATGATTTTGTATTAGTAAAAAAATTAAAAAATTAGATTATGAAAATTTACAATGAGACAAGTTTAACAATTTTTTTTTCATAAAATAATATTATTACATTAATAAATAAAACGTAGTCAAAGTAGAACATGTGAATAGTGTAAAAGTCAAAGTGTTGCATTTATTTAAGAACGGAGGTAGTATGTAATATTATTTAAATCTAGTCTAGTCAGATCTGATTCTATTTGTTTGAATCTATTGGTTTAAAATCAGTTCAATTAAAAACTAATTAATACCATTCACATAATAAATCTAGTCATGTAACATATATGATCGTAATGTGGAATCAACATGGTGTTGATGTAGTTTTTAAAGGTGGGCCCCTCCACGTCTGAAATCAGTTCAACAAATAAAAAATGAAGGTAATTAGTTCACTAGAATTAAAAATGTTACTTATTCAAATATATAATATAATATAGAATTTCCAAAAAAAATCTAATACGAAGTATACTTATTAAAAATTATATTATAAAAAAAACATTATCAAAAATATAGTATACAAGTTCAAATAAAAATATACTCCCTCCGTTCTTAAATATGAGTCCTTTTAGGTTTTGGCACAGGTTTTAAGAGGAAAATAATAGGGGTAGTGTAAAAGGTGTAGTGGGTTGTGAGTAAATGAAAAAGTAGGAAAGAGAAAGGGGTAATAGTAATAAAAGTGGGGGTATAAATGTATTTTGATTGAAAAAGCTTACCAAAAAAGGGAAAGAGGGACAAATAATTAAAAACGTCCCAAAATGGAATGCGAGACAGTTAATAAAGAACGGAGGAAGTATTTAACTAACATTCTAAATTATATATAGGAGCCGTTAATTTATAAAAAGACAATTGCTATTTGAAGTGTACTTATTAGTTTGACAAAAATTAATTATTGGGTGACATTAATTTATTATAATAATGCAAATAAAGATGTTTTTAATTGAATAAAAATTTATTGGTCTAATCTAATCTGATATAATGTTATCTTATTTGTTTTATTTAAGTTTGGTCTGATCTAATCTGAACTCGTCTGCATTATTAGATGTATGTTTATGTGCAGTTGTTTTTTCTAACTGTGTTAAACAACTATCGAAAATTGATATGGTTTAAATTGAGATAAAAAACATCTCAATTAAAAACATCCTAGATACTGTCATATCGTAGTTATATGATTATAAAGATGAATAACAAAGTATATATATGACCATCAAAATATTAACGAATATTGTATACGGCAAACTTAATGAATCACATCACAAAGAAGAACTGAGATACAGATAGTGAGGATGATGAATACCTCGTAAGTGTGAAAATCAAGAGTACTATTTTTTAGATATTTTTCAGATTCATCCTCCTTTGTATAAGAAGATTGTAAAAAAAGTTATAGAAACATTAATAATGGTTCCAAATATTTATATAGTAGTTGTTTGATAGTAGTTAGAAAGTGTACTCTTGATTGTATTAGGAATTTAAGTGTATGTTGAGAACTATTTGAAAACATTTAAGTGTATTTAGAAACATGTTACAAAAAATTTTGAAAACATGGCCAGCACATTGGGCCAACACAAGATTATGAAAAAATGTTTAATTTGGTCTATTTTTTGTAAACATTGGAACAAAAATGAATAACTTATAATATATTGTAAAAATAATACGTAGTAAGTGTTTGCTACAAAAATATTGCATAGAGATTTGGTATTGTGTGTTTGTTTAACTAATGTTGCCACCGAACAACTAAATTGATACCGAGTACTAGTAATAATAATTAACTAATTATTTGTAATTAATGCTCAGTATGATTATATAACAAACGTAAGAGGATATCGTTAAGAATACGGAAACAACATGCAGTCGCCTCTCTCTAGGGTTGTCGCCTCAGGCAACACCTAGCTTGTTTTGTCCGGCGGTGTTCGCTTAAGCGAGTACGGCGCCAAAAAGGTTGTTGCTATTGGAACAAGGAGGGGATCACAAGAAGGATTTTGACAAGGTTCTGGCAAAAGGTTAAAGCAACGGGTTTGTTTGGATAACTTCGTGGAAAAATACAAGAAGATGACAATCGGGGCAGAGGAAGAAGAACTGGATCTAGTTGAACCTGATGTTGAGGGTGTGGCAGATGAGCGGCGGGCGCGTCCCACTCCTGAGCCGCCACCATGGAGTGCAAGTAAATCGAGGGTTTGGAAGAAGATGAGTGAACTCTATTTTAATTGCGTTTTATTCAGTTTGTGTTTTTCTGTCGAATTGCATGTTGTTTTGAACGTGTTATTCTTTCATAGCAGAGAAATTCTTAAATTTAGGTTAGGTGATGAGAAGTCTGGTTTGTCAGTCATTGGCTCAGTTATGCCCATTATAGGATCAACGAATGTTATTGCTTCTACAGAGGTGATAGATTCTCAGTCTGGTTCGAGGGCGGACGGCAGACATAAGGCTTTTTATCGTTTTGTTTACTCTTTTTTCCTTAATTGTACTATCAGCCATGTGACGAACGTTATTTTGATTTAATATATTAGTAGGATTTGATGACCAAAAAACAAACGTAAGAGGACAAATTTGTCCAATTTTGAAAGAAATGGGGTGCGCCCAACATTTGTTGGGGTGCGCTAAGCACGGGCGGTATAAATATAATCCCTGCTCAATTATTCTTGCACCATCGATTTTGAGATCCAAAGCCATCAAAGATTTCTGGAAGCAAAGTTCATAGCATGTAACTTTTTTCTACTATTCTTTCTCCCACTTTTTTTTTTGCGTACTGCACGTGTAAGGAAATTCCAGAACTATAATGAATTTTGTTGCCTTATCCCGATGAATTACAATTTTCTGCAGCGTTTCGAGGGTTCTTGAGAGCTTTTCTGCAGTGTTTCTTCGTCTGAAAATTCTCTCCCCCTCCTCTCAATCGAGACCTATATTTATAGGTGTGGAGGGGATAAAATATGGCCTAGGGTTGCAGAAATTCATTCACACCTCATGGACCTCAATTAAAATGGGCTTCGGGTTCTATTTGCTCGCATTTTAATAGCTAGAAAAATCAGCACTTATGCAATGTATCTGGACAGCTTCTTTAACAAGGTTCATAGCTATTTCTCATGCATATAGATACATTTCTTAGCTATATTCGTTGTCTTCTTCGTAAGGTGGATCACACCTCCTATTTATTGGGCAACTATTTAATAATGGGCTATATTTTTAGGACCGTTCCATTCTCTTAAAGATTTAATTTATAATTAAATTAATTGGATATTTTAAATGACCCAAATTAATTCAATTATTAAATGTTATTCGAATGAGTCCATATTAATAATTTTATAAGGCCCAACAATCATCAGTCCATCACGAGCAGCCCAACATAATTCAACGTTGGCCCAATAATTTTTATATGTCCACAAATGCCCTCTCTAGATTTACTTGAACGTTCTTTAACGAGCAAAGTAATTCTCGAATATAAATCGAGTCGGACCGTCTTTAAAATTCATTCTTCTTTTGACCTGAACCATCCGTTATGTGGAAATTTATTCTTTGCCAATTCTTCTTTTAAAATGGCTCCTCATAGTATCGATGTAGCAGTTATGCTCAAGCCTAAACACGGATCCTATTAACTTGCAGGTGTTCAAGTGTTCAACTAGGATTCAAGTTCACATGCCATAATTAGGAGATAATAGAATCCTAATAGAATTCCAATGCTAGAAACGGGCTTCTGTATAAATATAATCCCTGCTCAATTATTCTTGCACCATCGATTTGGAGATCTAGAGTCATCAAAGATTTCTGGAAGCAAAGTTCATAGCAGGTAACTTTTTTCTACTATTCTTTCTCCCCCTTTTTTTTGGGTACTGCAGGTATAAAGAAATTCCAGAACTATAATGAATTTTGTTGCCTTATCTGCTAAAATATATCCCGGTGAATTACAATTTTCTGGTTCCGCCGGCTGCTGGGTTCATGAAATCCGGCGAAGAGGCGTTTGTTGTGACCTGCTTATTGAGAGAAGAAGAAACCATCTTGTTGCTTCCCGAGAAGATGCTTTGTTTAATGTCTACTGGGCTTATCGAGAAGATGCTTGGGTGCCAGAAATATCTTGAGGCAGCGGAGAGAAATTCAAGGAGCTTGTAGCGGTTCGGCGGAAGCTTGTAATGGTCCGGCGGAAGCTTGTAGCGGTCCGGCGGGAGCTTGTAGCTTTCCGGCAGGGGAAGCTTGTAGCGGTCCTATCATCTGCGACACCCTCAATACAGTTTGGTCACGACACCCTTCTCCACCGGCGCCGTCTTCTCTATGACGACGCAGCCGGTCCTATCATCTGCGACATCTCAAATTCCAGAGTCGGTGTCTTCTCCTTGGCTGTCGTGTCTGTTCACCTAATTGCCTCCTCAATTTCCATGGCAGCAACCTGCAATTCAAACTCATCAGGTTTCATGGCCTGCAATTCAACCTCATCCAGTCCCACCTCAATCTTCTCCAGCATAGGTGCAACCCTCCCCAATTCAGTGGCAGAGTGTTCCGTGGCATTCTTCTTCCATGAACCTGCAAACCCCAAATTTAGGCCCAGTCCCTTGGCAGATTAATCCGGTTCAATCAGCCCCAGCACCCGTTCAACTCACACCTCCATCTCCCATGTTTTACGGTACTACGTTTACGGGATCCCCTGGAGTTGCCCGACGTAGAGGAGATGATTTGTTGCCTTGTGAGATGATGGCGTTCACCTATAGGGCTTCTGAATTTTGACGTAGACGTAGAGGAGAATTCTTCCGGAGCTGCTGCCGTTGGAGATTCGCCAAGACGGAGATGTTGTGGGTTTGTTGTGGAAGCCAGTTGGTGTCAAGGAGACTGTTTATGGTAGCGTCTGTTTGTCTGATCGTGTGTTGCTAGCGATTTCTCTCAGATTCACTTTATTAGTTCGCCGAGAACGGGAAGCTCCTAGAGTTTGCCTTTGTGCGAAGATATATGAGGTAGGGATGGACTCGGGCCGGGTGGCCCGACCCGGAACCAGCCCGGGACCGGTACTGTTCCGGCCTGACCTGACCCGGTGGCTCGGTCAGTGACCGGTCCGGGTAGGCTCGGCCCGTGGGTTTTCCGGTCCGGACTCGGGTCATCCAAAACAAGGCCCGACCCGGTCAGGCCTGGGCCCGGTTCGGACCAAAAACTATTTCTTTTTTCAATTTTTTTTTCAATTTTCGGGTTGGGTTGGGTATTTTGGGCCATTTGGGGTGGTTTGGGGGGTTGGGGGTGAGAGGGGGGTTAATTAGGAAGAGGAAAACAAAAAAAAAATGATAATGGGCCCGATTCGGACCGGACCCGGTGGTTACCCGTGCCGGTCCCGGGTCCACCATTTCTGAACCGTCGGCCCGCCCGAGCCTAGGCCCCACCCGGACCCGAGTCCATCTCTAATATGAGGCTAGTTACTGATTTGCTCCTGTTCTCCTTTTAGGTCCGAGGAAGATGCAGCAAGAGTAAATCATTAGAGATCTTGGCTTGAATGAGCCATCGCCAATTTTTTTATTTTCGATTTTTTTTTGATAATCCAGGTGTCGGGGCTTGCGCTCCCATAATCCCGGAGTCTATGAATTACCCTCCAAAGCCCCTAGACAGTTAAGCCCGGATCTGATCACAGTCAGCCTCATCAGTACTGGCTCCAAAGGATGAATCCAGCAGGACTTACATCACCTTTCAGGCTGCTCCTCCCACCACACGAACCCGCTACCTTCATTACCATCTTCTCCCTTCTCAGTCGCTGAGCAACTCCGTGAAGGTAGGAAGAATCATTGGGAGCAAGACCTTCCCCCTCTCCCCTAAATGTGCCTAGCGGGATTCGAACCCGAGACCTCCGCTAGGACACGGTAATCTTCCACCAAGTGAGCTGGAATGGTTGGTTAATTTTTTTATTTTCGAAGCATTGGAGGGTCATCACCCTGTTTTTGGCTTGAATGAGCTATTTTGCTAAAAAGAAGCTCCAGAGACTTTTGTCCAAAGAAGATACGTGGCCGATTTTTAAGAAGAACATGGATCTCGTGACAAAAGTGGATGAGTCCTTTAAGCTGTTAAAATGATTTAATGATTATCATCATCATTATTATTACTATCTTTTTTTATAACAAAAATAATAATAATGATAATAATAATGACGGACATTTCTTTTATGCTGCTCTTTGTTTTTTTTGTAGTACCCAACATGATGTATTTTAAAGACATAAAACAGGGCAACAAAAATATCTCTCTATCAACGAGCAAGGAGAATGACGATGAGATACTTTTGGAGATGTACAAGCCATTTGCTCGTGAGTTTTGGGGTCCAACGGTCGTGTCCTATCGAGTTTCAAAGTGGACTCCTGAGTGCGAGTATCAAGCTCAGACAATGCGGACTTTAGAATCTGGCTTTACTCACATGCCCTCTTCTGAGATTCTTCCTTCTTTGGGTAGACGTATCCTTGATGAAAACATCCCTTTGACAAAGACCTTATCATTTGGTGATGAGTTTAGATTCATCACAGGTTATTGGGACTGGGCCGAGGATATTTTGAGCATGAGTAAAAGCGTTCTGGACGAAGGGCTTATTTACAATGTCGTTTATGCCTCATTATTCACGTATGACCGATGTACTAATGCCGTTCAAGCATTTTGTGAGGCATGGTGTCCCACGACGAATACTTTGCTTACGTCGATTGGCGAGTTGACGATCACACTTTGGGACTTGCACGTTGTCGGAGGATTGCCTATCATAGGAGATGCATTGATGAATCTATTCCAGGCACTTCCGAGTTGTTAAATACGAGCGCTGACCGTTCACTTCATCTCTGCAAATATTTGTTTCACGCATATCATCATCTCTTTCCCAATGTCGAAGATAAGCGTGTTTTGCGTGTTCATGTGTGGGTCAAATTCTGGTTCAGAAAGGCCTCCACATATAGCATGCCTCCATTGAGAACAGAAAAGAAACGAACATCTCGTGCTAAGGCGACCCATAATCCGAGCGGAGCTATTCCAAAATTTGGAGGATGGTCGAATTCTATGAAGGTACCGTTCCATGTACTCAAGGTTCCTGCTGAGTATGAGGAAGAGGTATATTTAGCGGCATTTTTATCATGTTGGCTTTGTGCATTTGTATTGCCGCATGAAGGTCCCAGAGTTATCCGTCCGGAAACGTTCAGAGTTGCGTGTATGCTGGCTCGAGGGAAACGTGTATGCCTTGCGATCCCGGTTTTTGCCAGTATCTACCATGGGCTTAATCAGATCTCAAATGCTCCAACTCCTGATCAAGTTAGAATGTGTTTTCATGTTCACTATGTCTATGGATGCTTGGCATCATATTTTGATATGCATTTTAAGAATAAGATTCAGTCCACGACACCATTGATGATTTCTTACTCGGGAGAAAGTGGAGCGAGATCCCTCGAGAAGAGAAGTGCGCGCAAACGAATTTTTCAGGGAGATGTATCAGCATGGGTATGTTCTACACATCGGAGAATCAAAGAATATACATTCTTCGATGAAAAAATCCTCCAGAGGCTGAGTTAGCGCTTTTTAGGAGTCTTCGGTCTAATTATCTTATATTGCGCTACCGGAATCATTGCATTGCTGAGCCTTACACTCCTCATCGCTTGAGTCGCCAATTTGGGTATTTTCAGGCTTATGCGCCCGGCTTTCTTGAGATGCGTAATCAGAGTGTCACACTTGCTGCTGGCTTTCAGCTTTGGCTACAGTTTGAGCATGACATGTCACAGGCTGAAGCGGTATTTCCGAACCCTCCTACTATTCCAGCGAAATTTTATTCCTTGCAGTATAAAGAATGGTGGGGTCAAGTCCATGGAAGTTATCTGGAGAATCATGTGAGCGACTTGATCAAGATTTGCGATCTTGCGGTTGGTGATGTGATTACCCCTTCAGAAGTAGCTTGTGACTCCGGTTTCCAAGAAGAAAAAAATGTCTGATACTAAAGCTAAGTCTTTGCCTCAGAAAATGGCTAAGCTTGCAGTACCTAGAGCTGAAGTTTTGATCAAGGATGCTAAGAAGGAAATGTCTCTTGCCAATGGAAGGCAGAGTAGTGATGAGAGGAAGTGGAAACATCTTAGGAAACCTCATGTTGGGACACTGAAGGTTAGTTTCATTATTTCATAGTTTTATTTAAAGCTTGTACTTATATTTTCTTCTTTCTTTTGTAGATTCATGTAGTCCTTGATGATGCTAGTTCTTCGAATCATGTTTCTTCATCTAGCTTAAGTGAAGGAGAAAACGCAGATCATGACATCGTTGCTGGATTGATAGCAAAAACTAGCCCAAGTTATTGCAAAGAAGTTTCGATTCATGAAATACCCAAGTCTCCTCATGCAAAACCGACTGCATCTGTATTCCATGCAGAAGACTACTTCTTTACTTTGTATAAGCAGTTAATCATTAATACTTGGAGTGACATTCAACAAAAGTTAGGAAGGGACACATGAGAGAATGTCTCTTCTCTTCGGGAGAGTGTTGAGAATTGTGTTATCCTGAAGGAGAAGGAGGGTATTGACCTTCCCATGTTGAAGTCGAGAGTGAAGCATTTCTTTGAAAGGGCGCAAGCATTTGATCAAACGTACTCGACTGTTACCGATAGGGTTCCTTCTGAGAAACAATCTCAGGAATTGACTATATCACAATGAGATCACCAATTCCTTTATACTTCTAAGCTCAGTCTAGAATAATTCTTTCTTTATATTTTCATCATGTTTAGTCTCCAAATGAGGAGCTAAACTCTTCCATCTTGGTTTTGCTACTTTGAAACTTAATGAATTTGTAAGTTGTGAGTTATTCTCTTTAATTTTCTTCCTTGTATATTAATGCATCCTTTAAATACTATTTCTATACCAATGTTGGGGAGTGTTACTAAGATGACAATTAGTTAACATCTTGACATTAGTTATAGTAATAGTTATTTCTTCCTCTATGTTAATATTGGGGAGTGTTACTAATATGTCAATTAGTTAACATCTTGATATTAACTATAGTAGTATTCATCTTCTTTAATATTTTTCCTTGAGTATTAATTAATTCATATTCATATTCCATATTAATATTTTGAACATTACTTAAAGGGTCAACTGGTTTTGTTTCATATATTAATTATTATTAGAATCAATCGATCAATACGTTTGTTATTAATTCGGTTCACTCACGGTAGTAAACTTGGATTATTAATGCATGCGTCTCATGGTTAATGATCTAAGAGGATTTATTTATGTTGATTAAACCAATAAACCGCTTGTGTTGAGCTTATCAATCTCAATCGTTTTCATCTTGATTTTATTGCTACTGTCGAGTTGATATACGTCGCATGTTCTATATTAACTCGGTAGTAAGTTTTATTAATGAACGTGTCTCGTTATTAATAACTACCATCGATGAACTGGATATACTCCTCAATAGAGTATTCGAGAGGAAGATAGTTAAAGATATAACCAGGATCGACGAACATTTCATTAATTGAATAAAAGCAAAACCAAGTCTCCGTCTCTATTAATTAAACTCATATAGGTTGTTCATCTTAGTATTATTAAATCAAATCAAAAATCCCCCTTGTTACTAGTTACGTAAAAGAAAAATATTCTTTTCCTTGTGGATTACGAACCTTACTTCAATATACTATATATATTTGTTGTATTGTATTTATTTTGAGTGCACCTCACGACAAGTGCACGTCAGGGCTCAAACAGGCTTCTCGTCAGTGGTATCACGAAACTAAAAGATTTCTTTCAAAGAATTTTGAAATTAAAGATCTTGGTGAGGCTTCTGTTGTATTAGGAATTCAAATACACCGAGATCGCTCCAAAGGCGTTCTTGGACTCTCTCAAAAGAGCCATATCGATAAGGCTCTCAAAAGGTTTGGTATGCAAGATTGCAAACCAAGAGATACCCCAGTTTCTAAGGGAGACAAGTTTAGTCTCATGCAGTGCCCTAAGAATGGTTTTGAATCTAAGGAAATGAGGAACATTCCTTATGCTTTGGCTCTAGGAAGTTTGATGTATGCTCAGGTTTGTACAAGACCCGATTTAGCATACATTGTTGGGATGTTAGGCAGATATTTGAGCAATCCGGGAATGGACCATTGGAAAGCAGCCAAAAGGGTGATGCGGTATTTACAGAGAACAAAGGAATATATGCTCACATATCGGAGATCGGATCAGCTTGAGATCATTGGGTATACCGACTCTGATTTTGTTGGATGTCAAGATAGCTTGAGATCCACTTCAGGCTACATCTATATTCTAGCCGGAGAAGCTATCTCCTGGAAGAGTATCAAGCAGACTCTTAAAACTACTTCCACCATGAAAGCAGAGTTTATAGCATGTTATGAGGCATCCAATCAGGCATTATGGTTGTGAGATTTTGTTATTGGACTGTGCATAGTGGACAGCATTGAAAGACCACTTAAGCTATTGTGTGACAATAGGTCAGCAGTCCTTTATGCTAAGAATAACAGTAGTTTGACCAAGGCAAAACACATTGGGGTCAAATTTAAAGCTGTTAAAGAACGAGTATGATGGATAAGTGTACCCGGGGGTATCTATCCGAGGGGTTACTGCGGGAGTAACTTAGAGAGAAGTCAGAGCAAAAGTAGAGAGAGAGTGTATATTGATGTATTGCTTAAAGCGTATTGAGCATGGTCTACAATGGGGAAAAGGGGGGCTATTTATAGCAGCAATAAATGCGAGACGAGGACACGTGTTAAGCATCCGACGACCGAGGGTCACGTCAATGGGGGTGGCACTGGCAATTGCATGTGGCCGCATTAAATGCGGCGATTGGATGTGACGTTGTACTTGGTACGACGATCTGGACGCATGTGGAGAGGAGATTCTGTCGAGGAAGGTGTCCTCGTTTGCAGATGACTAGCCGACAGCTCTTCATGCCAGGGGCCTCTCAGTGCCGAGGGCTCTAGGTGCCGAAGGCTACTGATATCGTCGTTTTCTCCCAGCAGCTTTGTAAGCCTAAAACAGTTGTTCTGTGAGAATTTGGGGCCTTCGCCCAGGGGACCGAAGGCGGCTGCATGGGCAGCGTGGGCCTCCTGTCACTTGGGGCGTTGTGATTTGGGCCTGATGTGCTTCCTGGGCCTGTTGGGCTTGTATTAGAATAGTGGGAGTCTATGGACTGGGGGTTCGTGGGCCATATACTCCATCAGAGTACAAGAAGGAAAGTTATCTATAGAACACATTAGCACAAACTCCATGATTACGGATCCGCTCACTAAAGGATTACCACCCAAAGTGTTTCATGAGCATGTTGCTCAAATGGGTGTCAAATCAGTTGATGATTATGAGTTTTAGTGGGAGTTTGTAATGTTTCTATATTTGGTTAACTTAAGTTTTAATGTTATTTTATGCAGAAATAAAGTTTAAAGTATTATGTACTCTTACAATTATATTATTGATCTCAAGGTGGACCAGTTGGAAATAGACATTTTATTCTAGACCTCACTTTATGTTATTTCCACGCTACACACCTATACTTAATCCATGTCGTTTATTATATTAATATACGTGATCATTGATGGGTCTAGTTATTCAAATATAGCAAAGAATTCTTTGGTCCTATGTTGATATAATTAATGGACCAGATTGATTAAAGATGACTACAGTTTGATAGCAAAATTGTGGAGCTCCTAAAGTAAACAGACAATTCTAAGGATTGTGTGTATACATGTGTATGTCGTCCAAGTGGGAGATTGTTAGATTATTGGACTTATACTACATGTAATATTCACAATATATTATTTATTGAGTTTAATTGTATGTTAAATGCTACTCCGTATCTTATATTTAGACCCAAAAATTAGTGGTTCTATAGATATTAATTTAAGTGGGCTAATAAGTTACCTAATAAGGTGATATGCACTAGTTTATAGTGCATAAATGTATGTTTTTGTATGAACTTTGTGTGTATTTTCTTTCCTCTTTAGTTAGTTTGTAAACATTTGTTTTATGTTGTTTGTAATTGTTTTTTTGCTTTCATTTATAGTTGTAGAATAGTAGTAGTATTTTTAGTAAGGAAAAGGAGAAAAGCTGAAGACAAAAATGGCCAGGAGCGCTAACCCGGTCGGGTCATGCACTACACCCGGTCGGGTCTGAGTTGAGAACCACATCCTTGAGAAAATAGCTAGACCCGGTCGGGTCCCCTAATTGACCCGGTCGGGTCGGATGTGACCCGGAACACCAGAACGTGCCAAGGATCGCCCGAATAAAGAATATCTGATTTTTGAGTCAAACCCGGTCGGGTCCCTTACTTGACTCGGGTCTGACTTGACCCGGGACATTTTAACGTGCTGAAACACAAACACGTGGGAGATAATCTGATTTTGACCGGTACCCGGTCGGGTAAGCACTAAACCCGGTCGGGTACCCGGCCAAAGGTGTTGAAAAACACCTATAAATAGCACACTTTTTCTTCACAAAAAATCACCCCTTCTTCCATACTCTTTAGCTCAGTTTAGAATAGCATTTCTTTATATTTTTCTAGCTATGTTTAGTCTCCAAATGAGGAGCTAAACTTCCATTTCTTGGTTTTGCTCTTGAAGCTTGTTGATTATTAAAGTTGTGAGTTATTTTCTTAACTTCTTCTCTTGATTATTAATTCTTCCCTTAATCTCATTCTATATTAATGTTGGAGGGTTGCTAAGTGACGATTAGTTAACGTTCCGAAATTAATTACTACTAGAAACGATCAACGAACCGATGGTTAATCGTTGGTAGTTTCATAAGTAAGTAACTTCGGTTTATTAATGCACGGTCGTAGTTAATAAACTTAAGAGGGATCAATTTTGTTGGTTAAACCGAAACCGTTGTGTTAAGGTTATCAATCTCAATTGATTTCATCAAGGAGTTAAAAAGATTGAATGCTACTGTTATATCGGTATACGGCGTTGTTCTATATTTGATTAATAGTAAGGGTTATTAATGAACGGTCGTTGTTAATAACTACCCTCGATGAATTGGAGATACTCCTCGATTGAGTATTCGAGAGGGGATAAGTTATAGATATAACAAGGATCAACTAAAATATATCAGCAAGTGGAAAGTAGCAAAGCCAAGTCCCTTTTATTCTTGAATTTAACACATATAGGTTGTTCATCTTAGTTTCTTAATTGAATTAAATCACTCAAAACCAAAACCCCCCTTTTTAAATACTAGTTTCATAAAAAGAGAATCATTTCTTTCCCTGTGGATACGAACTCTACTACGCTATACTATGTATAAGTGTTTAGTATTGAATTGATTTTGACGCACCGTGACAAAGTGCTCGTCAAATTTGGCGCCGTTGCCGGGGAAAGGCAATTAATTTTTCTTTTTATTTTATTTCAAGAAAAATCAAAAATATATATATATATAAAGTTTTCTATTTTGCTGAGCTTTGTTTTAGTATATGGTAAAAATCCGATCCATAAACCAACTCACCTACCAAACAAACCCCGAAATAGAAAAAGCTCTCGAGCGGTTAAAAAGTAAATTCTCAAGTACCGACTCGGGGGAATCCTCAAGTGCTAGTTCTCAATCTACCGAGTCCGAGGAGCCGATATCAATGGCTCTTGAAACAAGAACGCTGAGAGAGCTCACAGCTCCCAATCTAAACCAACAACCCTTATGTATCACCTTCCCAACTCTTGATGCGGGTGCTACATTCGAGTTAAAATCCGGACTCATACATCTACTTCCATCCTTCCACGGGCTAAGAGAAGAGGATCCGAATACACATCTTTCGGAGTTTCACATCGTTTGCACAAGCATGTGCCCGAACGGTGTTACCGAGGAGCAAATTAAGTTGAGGGCTTTCCCATTCCTCCT